GGATTGAATACAAATCACACACGCGTTGCCACCGGACACCCAGCACCAGCTGGGGGCGATCTCGTCAACGCCCTGTTCCAGTGTCGATGCTTCCAGTCTTGCCCGCTGTACACTACCTGACACTGCGGGCAATTAGCAGCGACAACCACTAAATCCCCTCATCATATTGTTAAGGTAAAAGCTGGAGGTAACACCAAACCACTAACAAGCTATTTCGGGTGACATGTACAGTACCTGCACTAGGTGCCTACCAGTGCCTACTATTGGAGGTGCGTAGGCATTGACCCACGCCACTATCTAGACCCAGCAGAAGCTACGAATCCGGAAAGTTCCCCACACCCATTACGACTCTTCCCGCCCAATCCGAAGCAATTCGTTGTACATCGTCGTACAGACAGGACTGTGCACCGCAGTCTACAGCAGTAGCTGTCTTGTGTTGTGCGCAGGTAGGAGTAACAGCATAGCATACCTAGGTACCTAGACCTACCACAACGTGAAGCAGGAAAGGGCTAAACCCGAGACCGCTCCATCGTGGTTGGCGGTCTATCGTCCACCTGCATCCCCCATCCCATCCCCCATTAGACTTAGACTACGAAACCTACAGCATACATAGCTAGGTACATACGTACATACATAGAACCACCCCAATCCTGCGTCTGTAACGGGTCACACATCAGGTACCGACCGACCGACCTTACCCTCTTCACTCCATATCTACTGTTCTACTACATATCTCTATCTATTCTATCATTCTCGTTCTATCCATTGATTGCACTGTTCTATCTACCATTCCTCATCCAAGCTGGCTTGCTATTGTACCTCACCTAGGAGATAGCGAAACGGTTCGCTTTCTGCCCTCGTTGCCTTGTTTGCATTACGTCTTCTTTTCTTCCTTCTGTTCCACTATTATCATCGCCATCGTCGCCTACCACACACTTCAGGCGGCTCCCCCACACCGACAGCGAGCGGTACCATAGCATTTCTCGCCTTATCGCCACCACATTCCATCGTTGAATCCGTCGGGCAATTGAGTGTGTGAGCACGGACGACCGAGACGACCATTAGCATCACGACCATCTCGACCACGTTGACCACCTCGAACATACCACACCTTATCCGAACTTGTCTAACCGGTTTGATTGTGACTGGCTCCGAAGCCTCGTATATCGTCTGCGTTATATTCTCCCTCTCCTACATCATCGAGGTGCGCGCCCTCGACAAGTCGGCGACCGAATGATTGTGTCGACCCGGTGACGGAAACGTCCCAGCCCGAGATCCGCTGGTTTCACCCTCGACACACGAGCACCACAAGCCCAACATGACGAGTCCTCTTGACGGCATCGTCATTGGACTCTTATCGTCCTTTGGCTCGGCTGTCATAGTTGCTGTGATCTTCCTCGTCATCTATTTCTTCCGCAACACAGCATCTGGTCGCATATTCCTCGACCGGATCGGCCGGCCTGGCGAATACGATGACGAGCAGGCGTTCGCAAGAGAAGAGGCCGAGGCTCTGGAAACTATGGATGATATGCAGAGGACCGAATATCTTAGAGCCAAAGGTAGAACCTCCTCCGTCCGCGTCCAGAGATTATGAGACGGCTTCAACAACGCTATAGTATGTTCTGGACTAACTAGCTCTCAGCCTTTATACAAGCCAACCCACCCGAGTCGGTCCAGACGGACATTTCATTATCGCAGTATTTAGCTATTCAAGAAAAGGGCGTCTCAGCATGGGAGTTTGAGCCAGAGTTAGAAATAGCCAACTGCTTCGTCGAAGCTAGAACCGAGATCGAGTTTTTCGACTCAGAGTGTACGGTCATGAGCAATCTACCTGTACCGAAGCAAAATGAAGTATATTACTGGGAGGCAAAGATATATGAGAAACCTGAAGCCACGTTACTGAGCATCGGAATGTCTACGAAACCCTACCCGTTGTTTCGGCTTCCAGGTACGTGCGCTATATTCTCCCTTATGTGCCCTCTTTTTAACTAAGCATTACTCTAGGACACCATAAATACTCTGTTGCCTATACGTCAATAGGCGCACGTAGATACAACCAACCCTTCTCGCCCACACCTTACGGGCCTCCGATCGTTCAGGGTGATGTAATAGGCGTGGGGTACCGCCCTCGGACCGGTACTATCTTCTTCACTCGTAATGGCAGACGATTAGATGACGTCGTACATGGGTTAAAATCACAGAATTTCTTTCCCTCAGTTGGCGCTAATGGTCCCTGCATCGTTCACGTCAATTTCGGGCAGGCCGGTTTCGTCTTCATCGAGGCCAACGTGAAGAAATGGGGGCTTGCGCCAATGACCGGCAGTCTGGCGCCGCCACCACCCTACGGTAGCGAACAAGGTAGCATTCTACTCGAGTCCGGCCGTAGAAAGGACGAGGCTCCAGCATCCCCATCGCAAGCTCACCCGTATTCACAATCGTTTCAGCCATACGGCAACCGGGGTCCGATATTAGATTCCAGCCATGCACGGACACGTAGTGGTAGCTACCGAGTCCTACCACCAACCAGCCCGGGACCACAGAGAAGTCCTACGGATATATCTCTAGCGCAGTTAGTTCCTACAGACGAGGCAGGTGAGGGGAGCAGTAGCAACCACGGCTTCCCGTCCTCTGGAGATCATGTGGTCAATATTACAGGCCTCGGCCTACATGAAGCTTCACATCCACCACCCGAATATAGCAGCCCCCAGCACTCCGACGATGATAGCTCAGGCAGCGGCTCAGATAGTGATAATGCTCCGCTAATCAGGACCCCGGTGCGGAGTCGTGGAGCTTCTCTGGCCGTGTTCCGCCCGAACAACCCCCCAATTCCCAGTTATAGTGATGCTGTGCGCCAAGGCGCTGGTAGGGATAGAAGCCGAAGCGATACAACAGCTATGCTAAGAAGAAGTGGTCAAAATTGACCGGTCTTGTTTTCGTCATATTTGGTCGGGAGTTGGTGGGCGCAAAAGGATTTAGCATAATGAACGCTTGTGAGGTGATGGAACATCCTCCACCCAGGGAATTCACTAGGCGAATTGCCAGGTGAGGGAATACTATCAGTCTGTTGTTAGAAATACCCGGCTAGCAAGACCCATTGTAGCCATACACATGAGATGCGGAGTTTGAGGTGTTCTTTTGAGAGCAGCTTTAGCCAGCCATAGTGCTTATTCATAATGGCAGTCATTCCGCTACTTCTGGGGTTCGCGACAGTAACTACATAGAGACATATTGCATTGGGAGCCCTGGCTTGGCTGATTGGTTTGCTGGTTTGCTTGTTAGTGTTAGGAACTAGTAGATGATTGAGCAGGCACACACTTCTCGTATCATACCTCGATTCGAAAATATTCTCATCCAGTCGCAGTCAAGTGCCTGGCTCACCATACTTAAGCCAAATTTGTATGGTGTGAGCTACTATTGATGAGTGTCTATGGCGTATTTGCTTTTGCTTTTCCATTGAATGTTAGTTGTAAGCAGATATCAGGGGCTACCTATATAATTGCGTAGTTTGGTAAGACAGGAGGCTGGCCGGATAGATACCTCATTGAGTCGTATACAACTTACACCCAGGAGTTGGAGCAAGTGGCATAGGTACTAACCAGTGATATGAATCAAGCGAGTGCCTGGGATGGATTGGTAGAGTATGTCACCGCTTATTTCATTGAGAGCCCCGGCTGGCATAGGATGTGTCGAGTGTGTGATCATCTGAGTCAGTTCTAGAACAGCTGTAGTAAGAGACATTGAGTAAAATGGCTGAAAAGCTGGAGTTTAGCTCAAATTTCGAGAGGTACAAGAAGTACTTTGCCATTGTTGTTGCCTCGACGTTCGGACACGTGGAAAGGGGGGCTTAATAAGAGTGAACCTAACCCTCGAACCCTACACAAACAAGCATAATTGTTGGCTGCACAGACATTGTTATATGCATGGCGAGCAATGTTGTGACATGTCGCACTACTTCATACCGGCTGCCCGGTACCTTTGTCGTAACATGATTTGCATGCAAACGCTTGCTCTGTTATGGCTATTTCCCATGCAATGCAGGGGATTTTTATATGAGGATCATGGGGTAAAAGTACTTCAACATGTGCCCCTTGCTTTCCAGGAGGTGGTTTGTTCGTGCTACAAGTCAAGGTGTGCTATATAGAAGATCAGGCTGTGCAGATACTCACGTAAATCTCGTCCGTTACTAGATAGCCACAGCCCTACACGAACACTAGACTTCCTCAATGGATGCCCTATACTATCAACTAGGGACATCATTCTAGTCCATTCTATGTGCCTTGGTGATAATCTGCCCAGAGGAGTAAGTCATAACCACATTGACCGTTAATTGTAATGCCTACAACCTACGTAAGCAGCGCACACACATGAGTAATGATCAGCTGACTTTAGCAGGATGCAGGTCCCTTGTTTGGTGTAGCCTTGCTGCAAATCATTTATGCTTCTCATTTGTGACAGGTCAAGGTCGGTGGTTGTGATGATCCTACACGCTTGAAGGATTTTTCCCTCTCGGTTAGGGCTTATTTCCCCATGCTAAGGCCGCGAATGACCTCGAAAGTAGGTAGTTATCAGACATCTAATAAAGTGGGAAGTTGAGCAGTACTTAGAAGGATCAATTTCACCAAGGGCAAATAATTATTTACTTCCCAAATGGGAATATTTCAAGTATAAACTCAATGTGGGAGTTGACTGTAGAAGGATATGACCATTCTTGAATGAATATGCAGAATAGTAGGTCTCAACTGGGAGTGTTTTATACTATTGCAATATTGCTCTCTTCCAAGGTTAAGGACGCACTTTATAAAGGAGCATCTTCTCCAATAACGGCTACTTCATTATCACCTCAAACGGAGCCACAAGATAGTAAAAGTTACTAACTATACTACTTAACAACGGTCCTGTTACATAATATAATCTGCTAAAACCCCTTTCGCCGGTCTTGGCTCTGGGGCTTCCAATCGACGGTCCACGATAAATCCTACTAACGACCGCAGCTCTCCATCGTCGATTTGGCGCAATGGTAGCGTACAGACCTCCTAAGTATGGTCAGTCTGGGGTTGCGGGTTCGAGTCCCGTGATCGATGCATTCGGTTTCGCAAGAAACCTGAATATTTGGGCGAATGGTCTAGAGGTATGATATTCGCTTTGCATATCTGAGTAGCCTGTTGCTACTTGGAATCTCAATGTCTGCGAAGGGTCCGGGGTTCAATTCCCCGTTCGTCCATCATTTTTGCCAAAATCTAGGTTGGTAGTTGGTTGTTTGTGAGTGTGGGTTGAATTGACCGACCGGGTTTTGCTGTCCTTCGGCTAGGGAGAAGTTTGATTGCTTTAGTTGGTATAATTAGTAGGGGCAAGGAGATCTCAGCGTGGGTTTAGACTATTGCTTAAGGTTTCTGTCTGTAAGAGATAATACACGGTAAGAGATGAGGAATGTATCAATCACCGTACAATGATAGTCATATTTTGATTTGCTGCTTGCTTTATTCATATCGCCCCAGGGTATCTATTGCTCGTGTCTCCGCAGAAGCTGAGTTGACACGGGTATCCATATAATCTTTCTACTCAGTCCATCCAACGTCACTAAAATGGTGGATATTCAAGTCTAATACTAAGAGACAAGCGACGTAAGTCGGACACCTCATTTATCAAGGCCTTCCGGTTCAAAAAGCCCCAAATCGTAGCCTCTCTCTCCTATACCCGAACAACTTGAACGTAAACACGGTACACGGTCTTAAAACGTCTTGGTCTTCTGGGTCTTGCCGAAGCTTCGAAGAGCCGCAAAAGAACTTTATAAAGGGCGTCTACGTCATGTCGTAAGCAGAGAATCGTAAAATGAAAAATGAAACACCAGTCCGTTTAATATCGCGGAATGCTAGGCCGGTAGTCGATTATCGTAAAGTCATACATAAGAGGCCATTAGGCCGAGTCATAATTAATACAGTCGAAAGTCCTAGCAAGATGTCGAGGAGTCGGAATAAAAGTCGTAAAAGAGCGAGAGTATAGTTAAATCATAAAAATCCGCCTTCATTGCCGAATACTCCGATACTGCCGCGCCATCGGCAACGCTCATCTGAAGTCTGGCCAGTTCCTCGAGGACTTATAGATCCGCGAGGAGTGTGTTGCGCGTCGTAGTCGCTACTTCCACGGTTACTACTGGCACTCGCGTTGGATTGTACAAGTAGGAGGCTGCTTGTTCCGCTTAATCGCTTGGTGAAGTCATTGAAATTCTTCACGTCGGAAGTGGAATGCCGCTTCTCATGGGGTCGTCGCATTACAGCCCCATCGGGTTGTCTTGAAGACGGCGCAGTCTGTAATGGCGGCGCAGAGATATAATGTTGGCTACTCACCCGTTGGGCTGCTGGCCGGTTTCGTGAGTGTGCCGTCTGCGGCCGCGACACTGGTGGTGGCGCATTGCTTGGCGTCGGTTCGTTATAAGTTGAGTTGTGGCGGTTGGTAATGAAGCGAAGCGCATTAAACGTGGTAGCATCCATCCCCTCGTGATCGAGATTTTGTTCCAAAGCATAGTTGTCGCTATCGTCGTCGTCTCCGTCATCTTCTAACTCCTCGTCACTCCCATCGTGATCCCATGTACTCTTTACAGGCTCCTGCGCTATGGCTCTACCGCCAGCATTTTTCTGCCGATTTTCCGCTTCACACATTAGTGCCTCAAATCTAGCGAGGGACGTGAGCTTCTCCTCCCCAGCGATTTCTCGTTCGGAGCCTGGGATACATCGCATTTGAAAAGCGCGGTCTAAAATGGTCTCACGAGGTATTATCGGAGGGCTAGAGTCCAGACTGGGCTGTTTGGGATCCTGGGAAGAACTTATGCTACCTCTACCCCTAATAGGAGAGCTCAAAGCCGAAGATCGCCCCTGCGCGGTAGTCCATCCTTCTATAAACTGTTCTGGATGTTCCTCGACAGTAGAAGCTGGAGAAGGTAAGTCTTGTTGGAGGTTGGCATAATGCTGCTGCACAAAATTCATAGCAGCCGGTACCATGGAGCTTGCGTGAGATGAGAGGTCACTCTTTCGAGAGCGAAGGCTAGGGGACCCAGAAATGTATATTGAGTTCTGATCGCGCGTGGGTGGAAGGGTTCTACCAGATGACTTCGATTGCAATTTCGACCGTAGTTTTCCCTTCGCATTGGACATAGCAGAGGTCTTCTCGGTAGTATCTTGCATCGTGGGAAACGGGCTGATAAACGTCGGTGCCGTAGGACTAATAGGGCTTATGGGCATCGATTGCTGCTGCTGTACCAGCATCTGAATGTACCTCGCCCATTCGTCTAAGCTATACCGCGATGCTTCCGGTGCCACGAACCATAGTACCGTCGGGCCAGAATCCTTGCTCGTGATTAATCCGGTAGTCCTACTCGATCGGCGCTTTCGCAGCTTATCGGTCGCGGGGTCGGGGGAGATTTGAATAGTAAGAGTAGGAACAACATTGCCCTGCTTCCGGTGAGAGATGTGTTGCACTTGGCAATCTCCTATTGACGCAATCGAATGCTGAATGATGGGTTCAGAATCCTCCTGCAGCCATGTTAGTAGGTACCAACTGCGCCATTCGAATCGTTCAAAGCGCACCTTCGACTTGTACACTGAGAGGTAGACGGCATCTGTGGGGACTTTCTGCTGCTGCGACTTCGAAGATCGACCACCTGCATCTCTTATGCGAGCAGTGGATAGGACCTGGGTGAGGGAGAGGTTCGACTGCTGGCCGTCTTTCTGGTTCAAGGGGCCAATAGAAACATAGCGTGGCTAGAGAAAAAAAAGGCCCATTAGTTAGCATTCCTAGAAAGCGGGAGAAGGACGAGCGTAGTGTAGGTATTGATTATTGTAATGGTGGAGTGGCTACCTTCCAGACAGCTCTTCCGAGGATCGTACCCCGATCCGGGGGTACAAGGAGAATGCCCTCCATGAGTGCTACAGCGCGATCGTTATTTGGTCCCGGTGTCGAGAGGAATTGCGCAAACTGCTCTGGTCTGACCGTCGAGGTATAAATAGATGACGGCGCACAGCTGGCCAATTTGCGAACCAAGGGACTATCTTCTTCGCATATCAGGAAGAATAGCTGGGAAGAGAGCCGGGCGGTAGCTAGCCTTTGTTCAGTTCAGCATGAACAAGAGTATTGATTAACTCTTGGTCACAACAGAGGCGATAGGCTAGGCAATCGACGACGGTAGTTGGTCGGCGAAGTCTCATAGAGTCTGGGACCTCAATTCATCCTGACCAACCCCCAATCAGATCATGAAAATAGAAAGGGACGATCCTCAACCACCAGCCAGCAAGGAACAAAGTAGTATGAAGAGGAAAAAAAAGAGAACGAGGCGTAAAAGCAGGTGGTAATGGTGCTACTACTACCTACTGCACCTGGGTACCACAAGGCTCGCTGGATGAGAGCCCGTTTACCCTAGCAGGTACATTATTAAATTGAGTATTCCAAGCAGGAATAATGTACATACTATAATTAATTGCGCATCGAGCGAAAAGAGGCCACTGGGTGCGTATACCTGTACATCTGAGTAGGTACAGTACTGTAGGTAGACAGACGGGTGGTGAAGGAGTCGATGTAACTCCTGAAAATACCATCTTGGTCGCGATAAAATGTGGGAACGATGTCATAAAATAATAATACCTAGGCTCCTGGCTAGGCCTAGAAAGGAATGAGTCGAGAACTTCTAGGGGCGGCTTGACCATAGTCGGACATAGGCAGAGATGCCTCTAAACTAAAAGTAGAGCGATTCCGACAACTTGTCTTAGACACAAGTTAGGGATACCTAGCGTATCCCGGCTAACCCTGTAGTTACGAGGCCAGTGTATTGACAGGGTCACTTGGGGGCCTGCAGCTCGAACCTCAGGCCGGGTTCAGGGGTATACAAAGTATGTAGGTATGCTGTATGCTTGGAGTCTGCTTGGAGATACCTACACTAATAGGATTCGAGCCTATACATACAGTTTGCAGATGTACCCATATAGCCAACTCGCGCTCCACATGTCTTGGATTCCTCCCAAGTCTTGTGACTGACCCTCCTGGAGTTGTTACCGGACAAGCCGGGGAATACTTCGTACATATTACCTGCGTACATACCGACTGCAGTGTTGTCTTCGTTTTGACCCCTATATAAATCTACATACATGTGCATGAAGCGCCAGGTGGATATGTACGACTTACCAGACACACTATACAGTAGTATATAGGCGCTATCGAAATCATTCGCGGGATCGAACACCTACATAGAAGCGGATGTACATACCGTACTGTAGTAGGTACGCATAAATGAAGACTCGACTGACTGACTCAGTCGCGTTGACGCTTATTTCAGCCGCTTTGATAGACTCTCTCAGATATAGCTTGTCTTCGGGAAACAAGACCAAATCAATGTCTTGGTCAGCAGCTGAGAGTTCCATATAGATACCAATAGTCATCTAGCGTGTACGCTACACTACGCAGACTATCGCGTATAAGGTAACTCTTGCACTCATCCCCCTCCGATACCTGCATACCTGTGCCTCTGTCCACGGCTCTCCGCAATGCGCGTGGCATGGCGTGGCGTGTTGCCAACCCTTTGACACATAAACTTGCAGTAGTTTTCACACCAGTGCTATGGAAATGGGTGATGGGTATTGAGATGAGGATGCGTGTGACTATAGTATGATGTCTGTGCTGTGTGATTTTAAAGAGAGCCAAGTGAAAACAAAAGCCAACGAGCAGCAGGAAGTACGGAAGAGCCACCGCCTGTTAGTTGTAGGTATTCGTACAGTAGGTCGCCGGTAATGCGGCCACTTGCTCGAAAATGATATTGAATACCACCCCGGAGCGCCTTCAACCTCCTTAAAGCAAGGGAGACGGAAATACGATCACGTTATTCCAGTCTACCTCCGCAATGCCCGCCCTCATCTCGGCAGTACACTACCTACTGCGCATGTATGTAACACTCCGAGCCCCTCCGTCTCTTTCCATTAATCCAATAGTCAAAATATACTATGCGTACGTAGCCTAACTAACCCGATGCAACTATTCTAGAGTGGGAATGACGATGGATGATGCGAGGACACTACTAACTACGCCGTTGTTACTAGTTGGTGCCGATGTGTTTGGCATTGTCTACGCTAGATGTATAGCGTCATGCCCAGTTACCAAAGGCCCGGGTGCTCGTTGGCCCTTCGCAATCGCCGTGGCCGAGGCATGTCGTACGAAGTAGGAAACGCCCGGGCACGGGTAGAT